GAGATTAGGTAGAGAAACTTAATAAACAAATCCTATAAATCTCATCTAACCAGATCACTGAATTTGTTGAGATTCAAAATGATGAACAAAATCTGTGTTAGAAGCAAGAAAAAAACATATCTTTGTAGCTGAAGGTGGTATAAATAGTGGTATAGATAAAGTGAAACAGAATTCATATAATGTACTGGTAGAGCCAGAATTCAGTAAGATCTTCCACTGCTTCCCAAGACAGGTTTTACAGAAGTTCAATCTAGAGCACATGCAGACAAGGCTGGGAGCCCATTTCAGCACTCTGGCTGAACAATCACCTACTACTATGGCTCTCCATTAAGAAGTGAGATTGTATTTTACTAATAGTGGATCAACTTAATCCCAGGAGATCCTCACCACATTCTGTCCCCACTGTGATGGGTTGCATATTGTACTTTTCAGCATATGTCTCCAAAATTCAGTACTGCTCATACATCAGTATAAAAATAGTTTCAGTATACTAGTCAATGCTACATCTACAGTTAAGCCAAAGGGAGCTGGGATACTTTTAGAACAAAAGAAATGCAAAAGGCAGACATCCACACAGTGGTTAATACCATTCTAAATATGGTTATATTCCATAGATTAAGTTTTCAATCCAGAAAGATTCATTTTGTAGTAATTCTGATGCATTATTTAAATCCTCCTAAACCAGCTTACTATTAGAAACCAGATTGGTCTGTTGTGCTGTGCTGCAGAGGGAAACAACATATTGCCACAGCAACTACAAAAATGGTGTTCTGCTTTTAAGTTTAGTAGTTCCCTATAGAAGACATTGGATCATCCAGAAAAAAATCTCCTGTTCAGTGTTTTTTCTAATGCACAAAACCAAAATTGAGTTTGCTAATACCAAAATCAGTATTTCTCTTTACTGTAATCATAGAATAGTTAGGGTTGGAAAGGACCTTAAGATCATCTGGTTCCAACCCCCCTGCCATGGGCAGGGACACCTTATGCTACATCGTATCACCCAAGGGCTTGTCCAACCTGGTCTTGAACACTGCCAGGGATGGAACATTCACATCCTCCCTGGGCAACCCATTCCAGTGCCTCACCACCATAACAGGAAAAAATTTCCTCCTTATATCCAATCTAAACTTCCCCTGTTTAAGTTTTAACCCGTTACCCCTTGTCCTGTCACTACAGTCCCTAATGAAGAGTCTCTCCCCAGCATCCCTATAGGACCCCTTCAGATACTGGAAGGCTGCTATGAGGTCTCCATGCAGCCTTCTCTTCTCCAGGCTGAACAGCCCCAACTTCCTCAGCCTGTCTTCATACGGGAGGTGCTCCAGTCCCCTGATCATCCTCGTGACCCTCTGGACTTGTTCCAACAGTTCCATGTCCTTTTTATGTTGAGGACACCAGAACTGCACACAATACTCCAGGTGAGGTCTCACAAGAGCAGAGTAGAGGGGCAGGATCACCTCCTTCGACCTGCTGGTCACGCTCCTTTTGATGCAGCCCAGGATACGCTTGGCTTTCTGGGCTGTGAGCACACACTGAAGCCGGCTCATGTTCATTTTCTCATTGAGCAACACCCCCAGTGTTGCAGTCCTTCTCCGCAGGGCTGCTCTGAATCTCTGCCCAACCTGTAGCTGTGCCTGGGATTGCTCCGACCCAGGTGTAGGACCTTGATTTATTTCTTTGAGCAAGTGCTCATAACATCAAACATTTGACTCTACACACTTCTACTAATCATACAAAATTGATTAGTAAAAGTAGTGAAAGCTCTCCTCAATTTGTACATAGAAGAAAATGAGATGTACAAAATATGAAAATAAGATCACTTAAAATATTTCAACAAAAGATAAAGATTTGATTAACCTTTTGGATTAAACTGTTGGATTTCTTTTAAAAAGACTATGGTGAGGAAACCTTACTTAATGGCGTTTTCTAAAGTGTGAGATCACTACTCAACTAGAATGTTTCTTTTCTTCATGTTCACTATGTCCATTTTCTTGTTCATGCTCCAGTCTCCAGTGTCTAGAAACAACACATCAAATCTAATGCTCAAATGAAAGGTGAAATGATTTTAGTTAGAAAATGGACTGCAAATTACTAATAACATGAAGTGATATATTTCTAGCATCTTCACAAAAAGATGATATATACTTCAAAGGAAATTAAAAAAGAAAAAACCTTCATACATTCCATCCCCATAATTCTACATTCTATTAAATGTGAAGCATGTTTTTAGCCAAGTCATCTATAAAGGAAACCTTTCCCTTCTGATGTGTAATTGTTTTAATTCAGGTGCTGATAAAAAGCACTAGGGAAGAACATGATATCAGAAAAAGCACTGTACAAACAAAAACTTAGCAATAGATGGCTTTAAAAAAAAATTATGTTGCTACAGCTTTCCAGCCATAAGGATGTTAGAGCAAAACCAGAAAACTTTTGTTCTATTTAACATATTGGTATAAGTTTGTACTTTGGATATACAAAAGATGTTCATATGCCAAGAGACTGCCAACTTCTTCAGCTATGGATGCTATCTTTCATTTAATTGTGAACTGCACTTACCATAAAACACCTCTTCAGGACTTTGCATACTATACATAATAATTTATTTCAGTAATTTGTTCCTTTACTTTGGCTATTTCCTACTAAAATAACTCATTATTCATCAACTTGAGAAACAGTAAGTTCTTATGAAAGCTATGCTGTTTGTGTGACTTCTCTTTTTATTCATAGAGTGACTTCTACTGTTCAGCAATTGCCTCTAATTTTACTTAAAATACTTAAAAAAATTTAAAGAAAAAAATTCTTTTCAGATAGCATTATTTTCTCCAAATACAGACATGAGGAAAAATAAATGCTTAGAAACTGGATACTGTAAAATTTAAAGGGGGTTCATGGATGAGAAACATTCCCAGATTGACCACTACAACGCAGGAAGAAACAGTTCCTAAAAAAAAAAAAATAAAAAAAAATGGAGAGCTTTAATTCTCCCAGCTGTCAGGAATTCCTTTTTTCCTCAAAAAAAAAAAAAGGAAATAAAAAATTGAGGAACCAAGCCCTGAACTCTACTTATATCTCCATGCATGCAAGCAGCACTCAATTTACCTCAGTTTATATGTATTCAAGAGAGTTTAGTACCATGAAAACCAACTAGGCATATAAAACTTACTCAAATTCTTGACCCTGAGTCAGTAACAATTTGTAGAAGTAAAGGACTATAAACCTGGGGCACAAAATCCTATAAAATTTATAAAAATGCATTCTCTTCTTATATAAAGTCTCACCTCAAACTCTCTCCTTGTGCATTTGATGTGGTCCTTGTCATAATACATAGTAAACGTCATAAATACGAAAGTATTCTTGTATTGTTGTTCATACAATTGTTGAACTTTGATTTTTATCTGCCATAAGTCATCTTATGTAACTGCAACTTAGTCTGCTCTTCACTCTATCTATGTAATAAGAATCCACACTGGAATTCTGGCATGCATCTAACTGCACAGCACTGCAACCTGCCTCCATAAACAGGTCATTGTCTTAGCTGCGGACAGCACGCCTCATAAACTGTGACAATCCAGGTTCTCTGTGGGCTTCTAGAAAAATTGTAATAGTTTCCAATACTGACAGACTATACAAGAAAAGCACGCAGTATTTCTATAATTATAGGCTGTTCATAAATATTTTCTTGGAATAGTAATCAATATAACCCTGGAACAGAAGCAAGAGAGATCTTCCACAAAATTATTACAAGCTCCAGGTATTAGCAAACAATGCAAACATAAACCAAGATATATACAAAAAGGAATTTATAACATAAATGCTTCATCTTCTTGGCTATGGCAACAGTAACAAGAATCACTATTAGTACTTGCAATTCTTAGGTGTAAGTAGTTATTAGCATACCCTAGCAACATACCATAAATCTAAAAAAAAACCATAAACACAAACTGTTGCGCACACACACACATAAAATGCAAGCATCCAGCTCAGGCAGTAAGAGCTTTCCGTTGTGGACCAGAAAGCGGAAGCTTGGGTCCCTCTGCTGTTAGCAGGCTAGCTCAGTCCCGCTCTTCACCACAGACACTGCATCAGGATAGGCCTCTGGAGACAACTGCAAATCAGAGGCTTATCGCTCCTACCTTAAAATGCAAGGTTTATATACTTCAGCTCAGCAATAGAGTGCATTCTGCCACAATACAACATTTATGGGCGTTTTGGCTTATTGCAAGACAGAAAAAACGCCTGACAGATGAAAGTTACCACATTACAAAATTAACTTAAGAGTCACAGCCTATGCATTTACAAAGAAACTGCAAATTCTGAACAAGCCTGTTCTCTTTGACCGCCTCCCGAAAATCTTTATTTAAACATAAAAATGAGATGTACAGTGCCTTTAACAGAAAGAGCTTAGAAGAGATTCACCTCACATTAGGGTTCTGCTACACTGAAGTACTTCTCAAAAGAGCCCTTAAATTAAATACTTTGCATTGTCATTTATCAAAACTCTTTCACTCCACCCACTGAGAGGTTTATACTTTATTTTCTTTACTATCTGACTGCTTAAGACTATGTGGGAAGTATGCTGGAAATGATGGTTACACGGTAGCACAGATCAGCTTCCTATTTTAAGTACTGCTGTAACAAAACATGCATTTTTACAGGAGGGTTGTGAGAACACTGAAGAAAAAGGACTGCAAGCGGATTAAACACTGAATAAACTTTAACCTATTATTTTCCACTTTAAATTTATTATTACATCACAAACCAATAAGAAGGCCCATAGAAACTAGTTATATCTACCCACCAAGCTTTGATTTTACACAGAAAAAAAACATACTGGTTTGAATTAGAAAAACTACATCTAGGAAGATGTAATAAATCCTTGTCTGTAGGACACGACTCTAGGCAGTACCATGCTAAGCTGTATTAAGGGACAGCATAAAAAAAAAAATCATAAATGCAAGGCTAAGTTTGCAAAAAAAGTATCATAATTACTTTTAAACACCTACTTGCTTCTGTAGCCACCGTTCCCTCCGTCTTTGTTTTCTTCTCAAGCTTTTCAAATTGTTTTTTTCTCTCTTACTCAGCCTTTGGTTGAAGGAAATACTTGTAGGTTGCAGGAAATCAACAGGTGTGGTGTACTGTCCCTCTTCCACAGCACTTGTAGGTGAAGGAAGATTCATCACAAAAGGTGACCCATCAGCAATGGCATTTCCAGAAGATTGTCCAGGAGCTTCAAAATCACACTCACTCTCTGTTTCTTTATGTAGTAATGTGGTAAAGGAAGTAACTTGAAACCTTTTTTGTAATTTGTCAGCACTGGAACTGGACAGGTCCTTCAAAGGATGAACATCTTTCCTACTGGACTCTAACTGCAAGCCACTTTGTGGGTAAACAGGTGGATTTTTGTTTTGGCTATGGTAAATTGTTTCATATAATGCAGGTGACAAAACAAGTCTCTCTCTGATACTTAAATCCAAACTATGTGATCTTCTGTGAAAAGGTTTTACAGTCCATGCATCATTCATAGGATAGAAAGCAGAAATACTTCTCTTTTGATTTAAAGGAAATGTTTTACTTCTCTCAAAACTGGGAGCTCTCACTTCTAGACAAAGGGCTTCTGTTAATCTGCCAGTACAATTATTATTCCTGGCCATGCACAAAAGCCCTTGATTTTTGATTTCCAAACTTGCAGTTACCACTTCATGGCAGGTATCCTTGCTAAAGCCAGAGTGAATTTTGAGGAGAGGTAAGTGCTTCCCTGGTGATTTTGCCAATTTAACGGAGAAAGCTGGCTGATAGTCAGTCCGACTTTTGCAGAAGTGTATATTTACTAACTGTCCACATGAACATTTTTTGTTGCAAACAAAGTTAAAGCCCCCTAAGCGTGCTTCACAGAATGGGCAGTGCAGTTTTCCAATTGTCCATTGTGCCTATTGGTAAGAAAAAAAAATATATCAGAAACATTCATGGCAAATAAATCATTAAGAAATCATTACTAGAGTTACTCTGCTCCATTAATAAAGGGTTTACTCTGGTTTTCAAACATAACAAATGAAACTTCACAGCAGAAAGCAAGTCCACCATAAATATGTTTCGGTCAAAACTCTGCCTGCTGCAGTGATAACTTACCCTAAGAACTCTAGAACACACATTTCAAAATGTAAGGGTTTTGAAATATGTTTTAAAGTTGTCCATAGATAGAATAATGATGCAGTACTAATGAAAACATTAGCTCCTTTAAAGCAGTAAAATCAATTTACCATGTTAATCTGGAACTGGCAAGCACAGTTTCTCAGCTGAGTTTTTTGAATGCTGATACATTTCTTGCATACTAAGTACAGTGGAAGGAGTTTTCTTACAAAAAGAATACAGCTTTTTCCTTTGTTTACAAAAGCTTGAAATGGCACTTGCGTTTTGTTGTATGTATTCTTACAACATAATCTGTGTACAAATCCTACACCAAATCCTTAATACACTATCTATAAGGAGACAGTTATTTCCATTATTTGTTATTCTATGAATTTTATTTCAATCTTAAAGGCACTTTTCAAAAGAAAATATGTATCAAAGATCTATAAACTCCTACATATTAGCACAGTTATTACTATTTTCAGTAAATATATTCACCTCTCAGCAGAAACTTTTTTGAGGATTAAAGTTATGCAAGTGTTTGTAGGATCAAAGCCTGTATGAGGAACAACATTATTAACTCCAGTCACATATTATTCAATAGTGTGCCTAAAGTGGGGCTAAGCCATGAATACAGAAGCTCCACATTTCCAGTTAAAGCATTGCTTTCAGTTGCAGATATCTTTCAAGGTATTTTGAGAAGATGATCCTATGACTGATGCTTGTCTGATAGAAAGCTCCAGAAAGTTTCAGTAAAACCAATTTTGCAGTTTCAGAAAAAAAACCCGACAAGCTTGTGCAGAAAAAAACATTATTTTTCATATGCAATGCTACAAAAAGTTCTGAAAACACTTCTTTGAGAAACATACTCCTGCCTTGTGGGTTAATACTGCAAAACATGGCAAAGCTTCAGAGATGTGCCTTTCACTGCACTTACAAGATTCTGTTTAAATCTTGGTATGTTTTTAACCTAAAGAAAAAAATACCTCGGCTGACATATGTCCAAAGGCTTTCAAATCCCTGAAAATTCCTTGAACATGCACAGTCACACTCAGTTTAGAAGGCTGACCAATCTATGCATATGCCATTTCCAAAGAAGAATTAAGATGGTTCAGAGATTTACTGTAAGTCTCCTACACTCCATATCCAGGTGTCATGGGATAGGCACTAAAATTCAGAGAAAGCCCTCTCTAGTGCTACTAATGTGTCTTTCTGGCACTCAGGCATTATGGAACAGAAACCTGGATCTCCAAATGGAGAGGAAGAGTGATTCATGAAGGTTTGGGAAGAAAACTAGAAGCCTGGCAAAACTGGGAATTCAATAGATGGTAGGAAGAAAAAGGACATCTCTAGGTCATATGTGCAGAGAAACTGGGAGATGAGGTGCAGTACAAGGGAGTCCAGGACTGATTTAGCATGAGTTTGGCAATGGACTGATAAAGCATTGACTCAGTAAAAGAAGTAACAGCCTACTACTGGAGGAGGTGGTAGGGGGAAAATGAGCAAGATATGAAAAGGAGCTGAGGGTACACAGATTTACTGATGGACTGCATAAAGAGGAAAAACTGAGACAGGTTAGCCAGAGAAGCTCATACAAGTGAAGAGTGATGAGAAAAAGAAAATGTAGGCAAATAAAGGTCACTAGCATCACTACCCAAATATTTGTGATTATTGAAGGTTATCTATACTAATATGTGCATGAAACCAAATGAGACTGGTTAAGAACAGGGACAGATGGCAAAAAAGAACTGGCTGGGAAACAGTGGGTTTTTACAGCCTGCAAATAGACTGCGCTTATGTAAAATGATTAGCCTTTGATTCAGGAGTCATAAGAGAGAAAATAACACATGATCACTAAATTATTCAGAGCCAGGAGATCTGGGGTAAGTCAGAATTGTTTAAAAAACCCACACGTTTGTCCATAAACCCACAGGACTTACAGAGAAGTCAGAAGTGAATGAGGCAAGAGTTCCCAGAATATTAAAGCACAAAATGAACACTAAGATATTGAAGATATCCACCGAGAATTGCATTCTATGCCTCTGCCACCAGCAGAGCACTGCTCCTCTGCAATCTTGAGCAATTAAGCTTTTCCTGACCAGTCTACATGTTCTGTATTTCCCAGGTCTCCGACCTGACCCTCTAGGCTTTCAAAGTCAGAAGGCTGGCCATTTACAGCTAAAGGTGAAAAGAACAGTATTACTATCAATATTGAATCCAGTATTAGTGAAACAATATAACATGCTAAGTACTGTAAAAACCTCCATTCCTATGATCAGGCATTCAAGATGAGGCAGTTCTGTAGAGTGAGGAAATACTTCATCACTCCTAATTTTCACACACACCACCAAGATTAAAGTTTGTGAAACAGATAATGCTATTCTTCATGCACTACTGAAGAGATGAGTAATTTTAAAATTAATTGTTTAACAAAATAAAACAGACAGCAATACAATAAGGAAAGATGAAGCAAATTTTCCTGATTTTTGAATGCTTAGGTTTACAATCATGTTTTTTTCTTTCACAATTTCAGGGTACATTTGCTTAAACTTAAGTTATCTGCAATATAATAAAACTTAGACACTGAAGTTTAAGCAGAATGCAGGTATCATTTCTCTCAAAAATCAAAGATTCATCAGAGAAAAACTGTAGGGCAAAGGAAAAGCACTGTTTCTGCTTATTATTATCTATTCAACAACATTAACTTGTAGACTTACACCAAAGAAAATACTTAATTTAAGCAACAGTACAACGGGAAAGTTGTGGGATGGTTTGTCATTTCAAACGGGGAGTTAAAACTCAAAAGCAGTGACACTGGCTTGTCATCAGACCTTTGAATTTGCTTTCTATTGATGTTACAAAATAACACATTAAATATAAAAGACTCCACATCATATTCCAGCAACAGCAATCTTAACAAACCGCCAGTGCAGTTTTATGGAGAAACACGCTTCTTACTATCGCTGTCAACACATATGCCAGTACTGCAAGATACGATGACCAAGACAAACCAAAACCCAAAGCCTAGATAATAAATAATATAATTTTAAGCACTGGAACTGTTGCAGAGGTGCCTGCAACAGTTGTTTGGACAAACTGAAATACATTCATTTATAAATGGGCAGGAACAGAATTTATCACATGTAGGTTTTGTGCCTACGTAAAAAAAAAACAACATTTAAGATCAAAAAAAAAGCCTGTCTAAATGGTAATGACAGAAGTTACCAAGAGCCCCCTCAGTTAGAGGGTCTCTATAAAACATGTGGACCTTGGAAGAAAAGTGCCCTTGAAATTCATTTCTCTTACTTATTTCACATTTGGGATTATAAAGAGGCAAGTAAAAAATTATCTACCTTTTCAATGACACATTTCACCCACTCTGGAATTGCTTCTAAGTTCACGTGCCATACATTGCAAGGCTCCTGTGCAGCAGATGAAGGTTGAGATGTCTGTTAAAAAAAAAGAGTTATTGTACTGATATTCAACATTTATTCAAGCTTTTTTTTTTTGTCTAAATATACCCAGGAGTCAGCTTCCCAAATTCAGTAAATATTAAAAAATGACAGAACTCAAAAGATGTTGGTACATTCCGTAAGCTAAAAATCAGGTAATGTTGTCAATATTTCTCTATTTCTGAATCTAAGGATACTGGACAGACTTCACTGTGGAGATGGAGGCATTTGGACGTGGTTTTGTTTTATTTACAAGAAAGCATGCAACTTATGATCTCCCAAGTATATTCAGAAATTTATTTCAGAAGCACTATCAGCTGGCACAATTTTCCAGTAAAGAAAGGAGAATTTAAGTTCTAGTTTATATAAAGACTGTTTTCAGCATCACACAACTATGACAAAAATATTTTAAATTATTTTTCTAATGCTTGTTAGAGTAACTAGCAGAGAAATCAGGGACTCTTAGTAGCTTTTGATTTTTAACTGCAATGATGTGACTAACTGAAAACAAAATCTTAAGAACTGTAGCATTTCATTAATTGATCCTAAAATAAAAACAATTACCTAACTAACTGCTTTTTAGCACAGAAGTGATACAACTATAATTAAATCTTTTAATATGATTTAGAATGTCAGTAAAGTTATAAAGATGGCTAAAAAGACAAGAAAACTCTGGTGAGAAGGTCTTAAAACCTGTTGTTAAAATTTATGAATATGGAAAATCACTGACTCCTATGTTATGAAACTCATAGGAATAAAACTTCATTATGCTAAAAATTGAAAGTGGGGCTATACACAGAAGACAGACGCTTTTAGAAATTCTCCAAGTAATGACAGCAGACAGATCTGTTTGCCATGTCTATGCTACCACCTTCCTTCTGTCTTTGGACAGTACCTGTACTTCAGCTTGGATGTAATTCTGATTTAAAGTGTTTATACTGCATTCGTAACTTCAACAATTGTTTTTAAGGTCTAAGATTTTTCTCTTTTACTCATATTTCAGCTATGTCTTTGACTAAAGGTCTAAAATTCATCAGGGAAAGGAAACATACTGAAAACATTTCTCATCATAGCACAATCTGCCTCCCAGTGTCTTGGGAAGTAGCACTAAATTACATTCTTTTATCTGCTATCTACGTAATTAGGGAAGGAGATGCTTCAGTCTTGTGCACAGTGATGGTGGATCTCCACTAACAACTAAAAGCTCCACCATGGGGCACAGAAATCTTCTTTTCGCTATGTCTTTCCCATGAAAGAAGTTGAAATTTCCCTCCCATACACCCAAAAGCTGCTTCAAATGATGCACAAAATAAAGACTCCCAAGTATGAAAGTTATTACAGAACCTCAAGCTCTGTAAAAAGAGTGATTAAAATAATAATAATACTAATTATATTAGGATCTAAAAAATAACAACTTTGCTTCTACCTCTGTTGCTTATGCCATCCTCCACTGCCAAAAAGAACAGTGTTATATTTCTAGTGTGTTAATAAAAATATTAATAAAACTTCCCTTCTATTTGCTTTTTTGCTTTGATTCAAGATCATGCGATAAAAGCACAGCTTTTTGGCATATTTGTAAAGACCTAACTCTTTATGATTACTAACTGACATTATAAAGCAGAGGAAATACTTTGTCATTGTTTTATTCCCTGTGATTATTTTTCTGTTCATTTTAATAAATTAACAGAATAATGTAAATTACTAAGTGGTGTTTTAGCCTTGCAGAACATGCTCCCCCCCCCCTTGGAGAAGGTTAATCTGAGCTATTTTTGTGCACAGACTATCCCCTACTTTTTCAAAATGAAAAGCAAAAGTTTCTGATGTAGGAAACTCTCAATGCACATCCAACTACCACAGCAGAAATCAGTGTCTCTATTTAAAAAACTCCTTAGAAAAAAAGACTTCTCTATTAATAGTTATTAAAACAAAAAATTACTTCATTAAAACTGTCAAAACAAGAACCCATTCTTACATGAAAAATGGTAACACTATATACTCCACACAATCTAGTAGTCAAATGAGTCATAAATACCAGCCTTCCTATTGCAGAACAAAAACGTGATTACTGCTTGCTTGGCTTCTGTAGCATTGCTGCTTACATACTCTCTATGGAATTTTCCATATTTTTGTACTTATCTTCACAGTACATTAATTAATAACTGAGGGCAAGTCTAACACTTCTTTATTTAAAACCTATGACACTGGAAAATGTTACAAACTCCCTGCATATGCTATTACTTACATTAGATGGTTCTTTTTTATGAGATTTTTCAAGGCAAACAGAATTTGCTACATATTTTCTACATCTCCAGCAACGTAGAACATCAGCCTCTTGGTTACTCATTTCAACTTGTGATTCTTCAGTTCTGTATGGCTACCTGTAAAGACACACATACAAAACATTCAATTCAGTCACCCGCTGAAACCACACACGGTTTCTTTACGCGACCCAGAAGTTTATAAATAGCCTCTTCTGTATAAAGAAGACATTATTTACAAACATTCCCTGATCTTGTAGAGGATGTGACCTAGACATTTTAAATAGCAAAAATGAAAAGAGTTGTTTTTATTTCCAGGTTGCATACATTACTAAAAGGTAACAACAACAACAAGACCAAATTTAAAAACACACACTCCAAACAAAAAATGAAACGCACAAACTTCCTCAATGTTTAGATTAAGGACAATTCCAGTTTTCCTAGAATATGCCCATAAGTAATTTCTATCATTTCTTTTAAGATTCCATGAATGTATTTTAACTTAAGGTGGCCAAGCAAAACATCATGGAAGAGACACCCACAGAAAAGGTAGAATTTACACTGGAAACCTGTCTTGTTTATGACAAAAATGTGATGATTCAAATGCCTTGACTAAATCAGAATCCCTCAAGTTTTTATTAACCTCGCTGTGTCAGCACTGCTACCTTCTGTATCAGACACATTTCAAAAGTGTAATCTATAAAAATCCTAGACCTCTCTACAAATGACTTCTTTCTTTTTTCCAAGTAAATTCAGGCTCTGAAAGATTTTTACAGGCAGTATGTATCATTTTGCTGTGATAAATGCGACATTAGACTTCACAGGGTATTGAAAAAATTACCAGTCATGAATTTGTTTTTATCACTCAAACATTTTAAAGCTGTTCTAATTAATTTATTGTTCACAATAAATTTCATAACACGCTGCTAGAATGAATTTAATCTTATCATAGCTCAGTAAAAATTTCAAATCTAACATCAACCAGGAAGGACTGAAAGACTTTACATAAAGCTAGCTCAGATGTGCTTTTCATGTACAGCCAAATCCCCAACGATTAAAATATATTCTTGAAATGTACTACAGTTAGTGATATACATCTCGCATACCTTATATGCTGTATATGTGTATTCAAATAGTATATATTTAAGCCTCTGTATACGTTGTGTTCCCTTATGCTAATTGTTATAGAAAAAGCTGTTTTGCTATCTGTTGAACAGCTGCTTCATTTGGGGCTAATACTGGAGTGGGGTATAAAACTATTAGTGACAGACTTCTGAACCAAAAGATAAAGGACTGACAGATAAACATGCTTCTTATATTTAAAAGACAAGGTTCAAACAAAGCAGCAAACAAAGGCTGCCTAAGGATCACTGGCATTTGAAATGATGCAAACATCCCTTTCAACTGAATTATATTTAGCAAGCAAACAGCTGTACAGCAAAATAAAAGCTTTTTTTTCTATACTTATACACTTGAAAATGACCTTCATATTTCTGCATGTATCTTTAATTTTAAAATACACTTTCCTGACTGAAACTTATATATAATAATAACAACTTATACAGCATAGGCTGTATTTTGTGTAACAAAGAACGCTAATAGTGAACTCATTAAAAAAAAAACAACAAGCCATCAAAATGCACACACTTTGTAAGACTATACCACAGTAGGCTGAAGTGTTTCTCTGGCTTAGTAGAATTAAAAAAGGAAAATTCCTGTAGGTCTGCATGTATATGTCTTTTGCAGTACTTACATAGAAAGAAAAGCTACAAATGCACTCCAACACATTGCACAGGTTTCTACGCATAACACAGAATAATAGAACCATAGAAGAGTTAGGGTTGGAAAGGACCTTAAGATCATCAAGTTCCAACACCCCTGCCATGGGCAGGGACACCTCACACTAAACCATCTCACCCAAGGCTCTCACCAAACTGGCCTTGAGCACCACCAAGGATGGAGCATTCACAACCTCTCTGGGCAACCCATTCCAGTGCCTCACCACCCTCACAGTAAAGAACTTCTTCCTTATATCCAATCTAAACTTCCCCTCTTTAAGTTTTAACCCATTACCCCTTGTCCTAGCACTACAGTCCCTAATGAAGAGTCCCTCTCCAGCATCCTTATAGGCCCCCCTTCAGATAATGGAAGGCTGCTATGAGGTCTCCACACATCTTTCTCTTCTATAGGCTGAACAGCCCCAGCTTTCTCAGCCTATATTCATATGAGAGGCGCTCCAGCCCCCTGATCATCCTCGTGACCCTCCTCTGGACTTGTTCCAACAGTTCCATGTCCTTTTTACGTTAAGGACACCACAACTGCACACAATACTCCAGGTGAGGTCTCACAAGAGCAGAGTAAAGAGGCAGGATCACCTCCTTTGACCTGCTAGTCACGCTCCTTTTGATGCAGCCCAGGATACGCTTGGCTTTCTGGGCTGTGAGTGCACAATGCATCTGGCTAATGTTCCGTTTCCTCACCAACCAGCACTGCCAGGTCCCTCCCCGCAGGGCTGCTCTGAATCTCTTCTCTGCCCAACCTGTAGCTGTGCCTGGGATTGCTCCGACCCAGGTGTAGGACCTTGCATCAGCCCACCTCACAAGTGTGTCAAGGTCCTCTGGATGGCATTCCTTCCCTCCAGGGTATCAGCCGAACCACACAGCTTGGTGTCATCAGCAAAACTGCTGAAGGTGCACTCAATCCCACTGTCTGTGTCACCAAATGTCACTGCAAATAAAAGACAGACAAGGGACAATATGGGCCCTCTCCAGAAGCTATCAGAACTGGCTACCCTGGATTTGCAGAAGGCTGAGGTTCTTAATGACTTCTTTGCCTCAGTTTTCACTGGCAAATGTTCTAACCACGCCACCCAAGTCTTGGAAGGCAGATGCAGGGACTGTGAGAATGAGGACCTTAGGCCCACTGTAGGAGAGGTTCAGGTTCGAGACCATCTTAAGAACCTGAACGTACACAAGTCCATGGGACCTGAAGAAATCCATCCATGGGTCCTGAAGGAGCTGGCAAATGAAGTTGCTAAGCCACTGTCCCTCATATTTCAAAAATCATGGCAGTCAGGTGAAGTTCCCAATGACTGCAAAGAGGGAAATATAACCCCCATTTTCAAGAAGGGGAAAATGGATGACCCAGGGAACTGCAGAGCAGTCAGTCTCACCTCTGGCCTGGCAAAACCTTGGAGCACATTCTCCTGGAAGGCATGCTAAGGCACATGAAAAACAACAAGGTGCTTGGTGACAGCCAGCATGGCTTCACTAAGGGGAAATCCTGCCTGACCAATTTGGTGGCCTTCTATGATGGGGCTACAGAACTGATGGACAGGGGTAGAGCAGTTGATGTCATCTACGTGGACTTGTGCAAAGCGTTCGACACTGTCCCACACAACATCCTTGTCTCTATATTGGAGAGACATCAATTTGATGGATGGACCACTCGGTGGATAAAGAACTGGCTGGATGGCCACACACAAAGAGTTGTGGTCAATGACTCAGTGTCCAGTTGGAGACCAGTAACGAGTGGTGTACCTCAGGGATCGGTGTTGGGACCGGTCTGTTTCAACATCTTTGTCGCTGACATGGACAGTGGGATTGAGTGCGTCCTCAGCAAGTTTGCCGATGACACCAAGCTGTGTGGTTCGGTTGATACGCTGGAGGGAAGGAATGCCATCCAGAGGGACCTTGACATGCTTGTGAGGTGGGCTGATGCCAACCTTATGACGTTTAACCATGACAAGTTCAAGGTCCTACACCTGGGTCGGAGCAATCCCAGGCACAGCTACAGGTTGGGCAGGGAAGAGATTCAGAGCAGCCCTGAGGAGAAGGACTTGGGGGTGTTGCTCAATGAGAAAATGAACATGAGCCGGCTTCAGTGTGCGCTTGCAGCCCAGAAAGCCAACCGTATCCTGGGCTGCATCAAAAGGAGCATGACCAGCAGGTTGAAGGAGGTGATCCTGTCCCTCTACTCTGCTCTCGTGAGACCTCACTTTGGAGTACTGGGTGCAGTTCTGGTGTCCTCAACATAAAAAGGACATGGAACTGCTGCAACAAGTCCAGAGGAGGGTCACGAGGATGATCAAGGGACTGGAGCACCTCCTGTATGAAGACAGGCTGAGAAAGCTGGGGCTGTTCAGCCTGGAGAACAGAAGGCTGTGTGGAGACCTCACAGCAGCTTTCCAATATCTGAAGCAGAGCTATAGGGATGCTGGAGAGGGACTCTTCATTAGGGACTGTAGTGCTAGGACAAGGGGTAACGGGTTAAAACTTAAACAGGGGAAGTTTAGATTGGATATAAGGAAGAAGTTCTTTACTGTGAGGGTGGTGAGGCACTGGAATGGGTTGCCCAGGGAAGTTGTGAATGCTCCATCCCTGGCGGTGCTCAAGGCCAGGCTGGACAGAGCCTTGGGTGAGATGGTTTAGTGTGAGGTGTCCCTGCCCATGGCAGGGGTGCTGGAACTTGATGATCTTAAGGTCCTTTCCAACCCTAACTATTCTATGATTCTATACCAGATATCAGTATCATGCTAAGAAACATCAAATGAGACATTTAAGCATTCTTTTTTAGTCTGATTTGCATATAACTTGAACTTGAACTCAGACAGAAGCATACAAACACAGGATTTTGAGGTGTTTTCATAGTTCAATGTAGTTTAATTACAGTGTTCTGGATATATTTTAAGAAGTTTTTATTTATATTGTTTTATGTCTAAAACTGTTACAGGCATCTTGTTCTCACCTTCCTTAGTCTTTCAGCAAAAAATGCCAACATAAAGATAAAATATTCCACATACAGTGCCAAAAGTATTTGGCACTCAGAAACTAAACAGGGTCTCTCTCAGTGGGTCTTTCCAGCTTCACACTGAGCCATGTTTGTTGTGGCTGTCCTGCTTTCAGATCATTTGTTTTGTGTGAGCTCATGTTTCCCTCCAGAATAGCATGTACACCTATCAAAGTGTTAAAAAGCCTATGCTCCTTTATATGTCTTGTTTTATTTCCTTCAAATGTTCTTTTATGATTCAGTCCCAGAAAAGCCAGGAGCAGAGGGTCCTAAGACCTCCTTCCCAAGTCAGCCTTTCAGCTCCTTTGTCTTTCTCTTACAGACCTTTGACAGAGATTTCACACCCTTCCCAAACTATTTACCTTCTTATCTTCTATTATTTTAATTCTTTCCCTAACATCTACCCTGAATTTTCTTGCAATTTCCCTTATTCACAGCGAATACAGAGAACAGCTCCTTTTCTTCACAAAGAAAATTTTACAACTTTAAACACCTACTATATATATTAGCTCCCCTTCAAACTTGACTTTGTGCTAAATAAATCCACTTCTTTCTCTCTTTCTTCACCAGACATGGTTTCTTGATCTCCAGCTGTCACTGCTATTTAGTGAACTCTCCAAATAGGTCAGCTATTCTTTATAGTAGTGTTTAAATCTGGATGCAGAACTCAAAATAAAGTTTTCCCTGTCTAGGGAGCACACCAGACCACTCATAAATTTTCAAGGGTAAAAAAAAGAATTGAGAATGCCTCACTATGGTGAAAATTAATACAAAATTCACCGGATCCATTTGAAAATGTTGTTTCTTACATCTATAAGGGCAGGAAACTGGAATATTAAATAACAACTCCCAGCAGCAAATAATTTTTAAGGAATTTCAGCATGAGATCCATAAGATTTTCATATTCATACATGCTCGTCAACATGTTAAGGGAAGAGGAAACAGGAACTGTATTTTTTACCCTCCTCCCATTCTGTCTGGTAAACCTACGAGCAACACCACAGAAAGCTAGTGGAACTATTCACAAGGAAAACAACAGAAAATAGGTGAAGGATCAAGCAGCAGACATAGCAGTCAGAGAAACAGTACAGAGCTCAGCTTCCTCTTTATTCATCACTCCTTGAATGGGACACTTCTAGCATCCTCTCACTAGTAAGAAGTCCTCTTTGACATTTATATTTAAGTTCCTTATACAGTCTGAACTGTACAATGCATTAAGCTTTGCCCATTTCTTCTTCAAAAAGTTTGCAGGAAAACATGAAGTAAAGCCCCAAGAAAAAATTCTCAAAAGTTCAAAATTAAAAACTAAACACAACCCCCTAAATTTCTATTGAAAACCTGGCCTAGAATTTTTCAACTAGCTTGCCCCCAACCCCCAAATGCATAAATTGAAAAAGAAAAAAAAATAAAGTACAGTGGCACAGTGGTTCTCAATGCCTTTTTGTTCAAAAGTCACCTGTGATCCTTTCAGAATACTGCAGCCATGGAGACTACAACAATAATTAGGTCACGAGAAATAAGGGCACAGAAACTTGAGCATCAGTTACCAAGAGTCTTGAAAAATAAGTGGCACCTTTGAAGGAGGATGACATGACAGAAGCTAGATGAGCTGTCCTAGCCAACAGGTGTCCATACCAGAAGCTCCTGCTCCCAGAAAGGCAGGAACTGACACTTCGCTAGGAAGAGAAACAATCATGAAAGGCATTCTGCTACAAAAACATCCTTGCTGCTATTGTGTGATCTCCTAAGTGTTTATTTCTTAAGAGACACTTTTAAATACATACTTCATCAGTGCTTCTCAATAAAGTAGGATTTAGATGGGAAGGCAGAAAAGAAAGTTTAAAGAACTGTTTCCAGGCTGCCAGAAGATCAAGGCAGCAAAGTGCACAAGAGCTGTGCCACTGCTGCTGTGCCAGCTCCTGCTCAACTATGAACTGCCCTACCAGTTCAGCTATTGCTGTGTGATCAGCTCCCCCATCACAGCCCACTGGTTGATGAGAAAGAATGGCCAGTGTATGATATACTTTCTCTTATAGCAAGAGTAGCCTAAATAATTAAAAGGCAGTTAAGATAAAGACAGTTAATAAATGCAACGTATTAACCAGTTAAAAAATCCTACTGCATGCTGCTGAAGTCAACAGGTCTAGCAGACATTGCAACAATGACGGGGAACAGACCTAAGAGGTCAACAGCAAACCACGGATCGGCTCGTAATGTCCTGCAGACCAGTACTGTCCGTTTCACGCTCTTGCATGCACAAACATTAGTTGTAGCACGGAATGAAGGACGACGGAGGCAGGAATACTATGCCGGCGTCCCAGCGTAACGTGAGCTACCGATCGCAAGTCACCAGGCTGCACAGCCGCCGCAGCTGCCCCCGGCCGGGCACCGACCAACTTCGGGCGGGGGCTCCTGCTGGTCGTGAGGAGACCATGGGGGCATGTCAGCCGCCCCAGAGCGGCACAGGGAGGGATAGGCTGGGCTCCAAAGACTCCCGGGGCGTTTCGGGTGCCGACCGCCGGCGGCTACACCACGAAGTTAACTCTTAAGACGTCGGGGCCGTCGCCGCCGCACTCCGGCGCCCCCTCATGCACGCCTGGGACGGGCAGCCCCCGCCGACCCCCAGCTCCGGGCAGGTGTCTGCACCTCCGCGCTCACCCCGCGCACCCAGCACCCGCGGCTGGGCGGCCCGCACAGCCCAGGGCCCGGCTCGGCCCAACGGGCGGCGGCGGCGCCTCCCTCCGCCCTCCCGCCCCGACCCTGACCGGGTTCAGCTCACCGGGCCGAGCTTTGCGAGGCTGAGAGGAGGCGACACCGCTGGGGTGAGCGAGCGGGCGGGCGGGGAAGGGTTGCGCAGCAGCAGCAGCTGCTCCGGCGAACGGGAAGAGACGGGAGACAAACGGCGGCGGAAAGCGCTGCGCTAGCTGGGCGTCTGCCCGGGCCGGCCGGCCGTGGAACTCACCCTGGGGAAGGCCAGTCCTCTCGGGCGGCGTCGGCAGCGTCCCTCGTCTCCGCGGGAGGACAGGCCCATCGCCAGCCGCGGGGCCGGCCCTGCTGTCATCGGGAAGAGGGCAGCGGCCGCGCTAGCGGGCGCCCTGCCGAGGCCTGAGGGTGGCACGTTCTCTCGTCTCCTGACTGGCAGAGATGGAGCTGGGGTGGGGTCAGCCAAGGTGGCGAGGGTGCAGCGGTGAATTACGGGGAGCTGAATGGAAACTTCTCAGTAAAAAGTGGGACAAAATATATGTGCCTTCACGCCCGAGGAACAAGCCCAGAGCCAGAAGTCAAAAGAGCTGGGCTAGGGACATCACAGGGACCGGCAAGTGCCAGCAAAGAACCATCTACTAGCAGGGTGTCATCAGTAGCCCCTGACTATTTTAGTAGGCTGCAAGAGCAAAGGGGGAAGCTTTACAGGAAAAAGGGGGGGGGGGGGGGGGGGGGGGCGGGGGGAAGTAATGAAGTAAACTTGTGAAATTTTATAGGGAATTTCTGCAAATCGTGCAGAGCTGTGTGGGAGAAAAGGCAGGCATACCGCTCTGAAGAGAGCAGCACCATGGGCTGTTCGCTGGTGTCCATACTTCGCTAGTGAATAGAAGCTGGTAAACTAAGTGGGGTTTGTTTTCACCTCGGAAGTTTTCTTTTGGTGATGGTACTGTGACTTGATCAGGAGCTAACGTGCTCGTAGCTGACAGTCTGCTAATAATAGTTGTTCAACTTCAAACACAAAAAGGGACTGGTTGTTGAAGCAGTGTAAATGTAGGGAAGGCTGGAAGATTGCTGAGGAATAAAAATTTAGAATCTGCCCACATTTTCCTGTGGGGGTGGTTTGAAATACTGAAACCTCCATTTCACGGTTTCTCCTACACTTACATATAATTTCAGTGATTTTTCTTGCATTTTGATGCGTATTCCCTGTAGATCAAGACAAGGTTTGTCATCAGGTAAGCTATTTTTTATGAGGTAGGACTCACCATAAGATTTGGGCTGTCATGGATGCAGAAGTGCGCTCCCACCATCTCACTTTTTATTTTTTTTTTTTTAGTTTCAGTGCTCCTACCTGTTGTCTTATTTATTTTTTTTACTACCCTGTTATTATTCTAACAGACTGCCTAGTAACACTAGAAGTAGTCTGTTTTGTCTTGATATAGATTTATTCTGTTCCTGCTATTTAGAGTTCTAATCATGTGAAAAGTTTTCAGACAGTGTGATACAAATATTGTAAGTAACAATGTACCTCGTCTGTTCAGAAAGCCTTGTTTTTCAGTAATTACAGCTAACTAACTTACTTGTTTGTGCTTAAACACTATAATTGGATCTCGTGGGTTGTCTTGGTTTGTTTTTTTTTTTCTGTGTATTTTTTTTTTTTGTGTGTGTGTGTGTGTGGTTTTGTTTGCGTGGTTTTTTGTTTTTTTTTACAAACATCAAATTACTCTGTGCTATGATGGACCATTTTCCTATCTTGCCATTCTCTCCCTACTCCATGATTAGAAAAGCTGTTGGTTTTATTTTTGAGGAGAGGATTATTAAGGTATTTTTAATGATTGTTATATTTGGTGACATGTGCTAATCGATATTTTTTCTTGCTTAATGTAGATCTAGTGAAGAAGGTCTACATTAAGATGTTCACAAATGCTCACAATAATTCTGTTTTGCTCTGCCATGATTGTACAGTAATTATATGTAGAAGAGACAGGCTGTTATTTTGAAATAATTTCTAGTGTGGTACAGTAAATTTCAATTTAAATTTAAAGGACTGCTTAGATAAAGCACTATCTATACAGGGTATATCTATATGTATCTATATAGTATATATATAAGGAGTTGCAGGTTATAAGGCATTTTCTAGCAAACTTAATTGGTAAAGGCATGTAGAAACAAGTGAAATAGATGAATTGAGGAAATAAAATACAGGTTAAAATTACTTTAAGTCTTCACCTTCTGACATAAAAGAATATTGAAACTGTTATGGGAGAAAGCTTTTACTCTTAAATTGTCATCTCATTTGCTTCCACTTTAGTAAGATGTAGGGTTGGACTATTTGAATTTAATGGCAACCCGTCCTTAAGGAGAAATATCAGTGAAGATAGCCTGGAGAGAAAGAAAGGCACCATATGGCTCATGTCAGAGTAACAGCAAATAGCATAAGGAAAAATAGAACGTTGCTACTTCCTATAAGATTATATTTTGAGAATTTTTTTCAGCATATTTGATTTCGTTAAACAAGGGAAGCAAGGGTAATGTGCCATTCAGCTGTGTGGTTAGCTGTATTTATTTTCTTAGAGAGAGTTTGTCAGAGGATGAGAGCCGGACAGTTGGCCTGTGCAAAGTTTAGAGTGGCTTAGGTGATCACTAAGAAGTTTAATGGGTATTGCTTGTGCTGTGGCTTTGGGGATATGTGACAGCCTGGTGCAGATGTTAATTTTAAGGCAGAATATATAGGAATTGCTTTTTACTGGGATAGCCCCTTGAGTCTGTGGTGAGCAGTCCAATGATCAGTGTCAAACTGACACACAGTAAATCAGAAACCAGAGAGTATTTTTGACGTGCTGTTTTGAGACAAGGATGGTATAGTGGTAAGACTATATTGAAGGCTGTATGCAGTGTATTAGTGAACGCTGAAACAGAGTGCAATGGTGTTATGATTTGTGCATAGAAAATGACTCATACTGTTTTCTTGTCCATGGCACATAGATAGTATATCCCGTTCACGCGTGCTCCCTGAACACTTCTGACATGTGGCAGTGTATTCCAAAAGCCCTAGCATGGATGCATCATTTTTTCTTGACAATAGTGTTGATGAAGCTGGGAAAAATAATCCTTGGCTGCCTAAGAAACTGAATGAGTTGACTTTTACTCCTGTAGATTTCCTTTCTAAAATACATCTTCTCCAAAAGAAAAAAATTACATTTTCTCCAGATGTTCAATAATGCACTAATGACTAATGGCATTAGCCTGTTTCCATGATCCCTGGGTCTGGGATGCCTGTTAGGCTGTCCCCATCATCTGGCATCATCTAAAACCTGCATATCTATTATTTGATCATCTGTGCTGGAGGAAAGTATCTTAAGAAGATGGTCAGAGAGGAGAAATGAATGAAGAAATGGAAGCTGTTAGGTAGAACTTTCAGGTCCTGATACTGAGCATGGGAGGAAATTTATTGTTGCCATTACCTGTTTTTTTCTAAGCAGCTTGCATACTTAAACAGCATTGTAGTGGGAGAAGCCTTCACTATAGGATTAATTGTTGGAAAAAACTTTGCTAACAGCACTAGGCATTACATAAAGCATAACATTACATTGTATAGAGATTATAATATTTTTGCTTTTTATTGTCCTTTCAAAAATATACCCTGATTTCCAATTTAACATCATTACAAAGTAAATTGTAAGAAAATTACATTTCTTCCTCTTTCCCTTGAAGATAATGGTTTATATTTGCAGTTAAGGTTCCAAATCTGATTTGTAAAGTTTGTCATACTCATAAAAAATTTAAAGCTTATACAGAATACCCATCAGTTAATGAATCATTTGATTTCCTTTTGCTTCTTTTTGAAAAACAATCAGATCAGTCTAAAATTGCTCCGTATGGTCGTAGACTGTATTAGAACTAGGGAAAACATTTTTTAGGTCACCAAGGACTACATCTAATAGAGTAATTCTTAATAACATTTTCTTATCTCGTGGTCACTTTTTTCCTGGAATGGAACCCTGAACTCTGTTAAATGCAGACATCTTCTCTGTGCTTCAGAATCCTGCTGATCAAGGAATCCTGCTGTCTTGAGGTAGGATAAAAGAAAACATCATGAAGACATGTTCTGAAAATGAGTAAGGTCAGTGAAGTTCATTAGATGTGTTCTGTTTATCACCTCTTGCGAACTAGTTCCTAGAAGTGAAAGTACTTACACAGAAGTACTTACAGAAAAGAGACCCAAGGTCACTTCTATCTACAACTTGCTTATTTGTCCCACATTTCTCTTAACTTGGGAGAACATACTACTTACCTAGCCAGAGCTAAAAGCACACTTCCATTTTCTTCACAGTGGCACAGCTTCCAAGTATTTATGGTATGTGGGACTATAAGGGATGAAAGAGAACATGCCCATGCCTAAAGAATTGTAGAACTTGTGGGAAAGAGAATTTCAAGGAACTTCAAGGACTGATTCAAGTGTTCTACACTAAGCTGACAAGTAAAAATTAACATTAACAACCCTTTGAAACGGGTTTTGTACTATTTTATGTTTAGTTTGGGTAAACAATGACATTGGAGTTAAATCAGTCATTGTAAATTTTGATCAAGGCTTTTGATTACATTGATTCAGTTTAGCCAAAAAAGTCTAACTTTCCTTCGGAAAAAAGTATGTCTTCAAGTGAAGTGCTTGATTTGAAGAGGAAGCTTAGATAAGCTAAAGAAATTTCAGTCTGAACTGCTCAGGAGTTTTAATTGAGAGGAAATCTGAAATTGAAGTTAAATTTATTTAAAGTACAAAAAAATTATATTTGAGCAAGGAAAAGACTTTCAGAAATGATACCAGAACTAAATGGATAGTCAGTTAAAGAAGGATTTTAGAAATACATGAACACTGTAAGGACTAGAAAACAACAGAAAGGAATTAAGAAAATACTGATCAGCAAATAAAGTTATTTCTTAGAATGTAGAGTGGGAATAAAAGCTGTTTAAATCAAAGCTGAATTAGAACTTGCAAAGACTATTAAGAAAGCACTTAGCCTTAACTATTAGAGAAGTGGAAAATAACTGAGATTCAGGTGAATAATGTGCAAAGTTATGCACTTGGATACTGATGACAAGAATTTCTGCTATCAGCTGAGGACTCATCAAATGGAACTAACAAGAGAAGAAGTGTTGAAGTATACTAATTGGTCACAGAATGTCTGTGCATTGACAGGATGATGTAGCTTTGAAAACGCCATCTGTGACCTGGACTGTGGGTATATTTCCAGTACATACAGGGGAATATCAATGCTGTAGTTATTCTTTAAAGTAATACAGATAGTTGTAATAATCCATTTTTCAAGAAAGAAATTGAGGCTAGAATAGGCACAAAGAAGTAATACTAAGATGATCAAAATGGATAGAGTGTGCGTTATGGAAAGGCAGAGCTTTACTTATTCAGTTCAGCAAAAGAAATGCTGAGAATAGTTCTTGATAGGTCTTCAGTGGGCAAATAAAAGATGTCAACACTATACACCCTAGAAGATGTATGCAAAAAAAAAAAAGTAGGTATGAATTGACTGTTAAAAAATTTAGGGTGAAAATTAAAAAGTCGTAATTGCTCCGCCAGGGAGATTACTGGAAGAGCTTCCTAAGAAAAGTATT